GTGTGTGTGTGTGTGTGTGTGTGTGTGTGTGTGTTAACTGAGAAACGAGGGAGAAAGGTAGTCAAAAAAAGAAGAAAATTTTATTTAATCTTAAAAAGAAAAAAGCCTCATGATTTCACTTGATATTTGGTAACGGTATACTAATATATGATTATAGGATTATTGCAGATTATTTGATTTAATAGTAACCGGTTCGTAATAATGAAGTGTACAGTTCATATAACAAAAACTTTACAGCACTAATTGCGAGTAATTGATTAAGGATGAGTAAAATGAAAAATTTTAATCTCACTATCAAAACCTAAAAATGTGCAAAACTGTAACAAAATTTTTCCACCACCTGTATTTTAGTTAGAAATTGATGCACAAATTGTAGCTTTCGTAATTGCTTAATTGTTAATATTTAACTGTTATGATAAAGTAAGAATTTTCTGAAAAGATCAGAAAAAAATTTTTTAAATCTTTTGCTAGTTAAAAAAATTCGAAAAAATTCCCAAATCGATATCATTTATGATGAAGAAACAAAAGATTGAATCAGTCTGCCTTAAATGATTTAATATGAGTTAAAGTGTGATTATCATTATCAAAAATTTTGATACAACTATGGGTAATGAGAAATCAAAAGCTTTTTTATTCAGCAAACTGAAAGAAAGGGAAACGATTATTTTGTTGGTATAATAAAGCTACCAAAATGCTAGTTGAAAAGACGGCTGAAAAAAATAAGCCAAAGGCGGTAATTTAACATTTTCTCAACCGTTCCAATGAACAAACAAATTTTTGAAAATTTTTTATGCAACAAAAAAATTAGGAAGAATGACCGAATTCGTGATATTTGCTGTTTTTTTTTTTTGGAACACGTTAAATAATTCAATTTTCGACAACATGAATTGAATTATATTATCATTAACGATATTACTAAATATAAAAATAAATAAATATAAAAAGAATGAAAGCAAAAAAAAACTTATCAAACCTTTCTTGGGCTGCAGGAAATGATCATTGAAGAAATAATATTTGTTATAATTCAAATTTAGATGACGTAACACAAGTTTGATCGATGGTGGAAGGAAAGGCTTTTCATCGTTTGATGAAAAGAGTATTATTGTACTCGGTAACATATAAGGTGGAAATAAATTGATCGTCTGAAGCAAAAATAGTTTAAAAATTTTGGTAAAAATTAATTAATTGAATAATTGATTAATTAATCATCATGGTGAATAAAATTTGACAACTCACTTCCTGTACTATTGTTTCATTCTTACTAATCGATTCTTCATCAAATTTTAAAACAAGACATAAGGCATTTATTTGAAGATGTTGACTTTCAATTAGAAAATCGTGCAATGCACAAGCCGTTGCATCTTTCGTTGCTATTTCACTGCAAAGTAATAAAAGAATTACGATATGATAGCAGAATGAAGACAGAGAAGAATCATGATATGAAATTAGAATTAAGATAGAGAAGAATTGCAATATATATTGGAATTAAGATATTCATATGCTTTTGTAAAAATAAACAAAATTCCACCAAATGACATATTCTTGCAATTGTAAAAGTGAGAGCAGCTTTTCAAGAAAAATTATCATTCCTCCAAAAACTTCACAATATGTTTTTGTAGGAAATTTAAAAAATATTTGAATGTAAAAAGTGAGAAGAATAGGAGAATGCTTTGACAAGATATACTTTGCAAATGGGATACGGCGAAAAATAATCGTTATCGCAGATGCAAAGTTGTCATCTCTAAAAATGGTGTATTCCCTGCAATTAAATGGTTAATTTCTGCTCCATGAAAAGGTAATACCTGTCGTTAGCAATTTCTGGCGTATCGATTATTATTGGTCGAAATGGCATAGCCGTTGCATTGAACACATATTTGGTGATCGATTTGATCGGCGTGCTTCCTCGATCGAATATCTAAAGTAATCCGACATAACTCGATTTTTCTTATTTTCAACTTAACAATTATGATGATCCATTTAAAAGTTATCAAAATTACTCATTTTACTATTACAATCAATTCATTCGTTTTTGCAATTTTAATAATGAAATTAAATCATTTTTGATCTGACTGCTAAAATATTGCAGTAAAATTTTATCGTTCAAAGTGTCGCTTAAGCAAAACACGATATAAATTAGATATTTATCGTGGGAAATTTTATTTTACTAATTGTTCTATAATATCAAGTGAACAAAGAAAACATTATTAGCATATTAGCATTAGGAGTTGTCAAGAAGAAAGTATTAGATTGTCTTAGAGAAAAAGAAAATTTTACTTCATTGGCGATTTTATATCGAATACCATCAAATTTAGCACCATAAAAATAATTACACATACAATCAATTAGATTCGATTTATTACTTCCAGTTGATCCAATTAATAAAATAACGCGATCACTACGCTTGATGTTATCTGGAAGTAAATTTTGATAGAAAATTTATCTTGGATGATGATTGAAAAATAATCTTAATAAAGATTCTTGGTTAACTAAATGAATGAAAAGTTATTTACTTACTTTATTTTTTATTAGCATTCATTCTTCCGGAATCATTTTTTCCAGCTTTGAAAACTTACTTTACACTAATATCTTTTTCGGTTTCACAGCTATTATATACAAAACAAGAACAGAAAGAATTTTATCGTGCTCGATAGGCAAATTATTATACATTATAAATTTATTGATAAATTTAGTTTATACTACAAATTTAGTTTTTATTTTGCTGTTACCTGCGAAATTTTTTGTTACCTTTTGAAGCTCCAGCAAAAACAGTACGCACACTGCCCACATCGAATGCTTCACCGGCGAATTTGCTTACCGTTTGCTTTTTTTCCGAAATTTCTGTCGTGACGTCTACCATTGTTCGTAATTCTGAAAGCAGCATTATGGACTTATTGATCAGCTTTGATCTACCAGCAATCACCAATTAGGATATTTGACTGAAATAACGGAGAAGGTAAGTTAGTGATTCAAATGAATTTATCGTCATCTTTTCAGGTTACATTCACTTTCGCGAATATTTGACGCGGCGTTGAACCATACTATCCTACCTGCTAAACATCGATTTTATTAATTGTATAATAACCAAATGGAAGCAATTGTGATAATTAGTAAATGATTGTAAATTTTCTTTTATCCCTTATTATTCATGAAAGGTAACTTATTTTCATAAATAATTTATCCATTCGCGAAATTATAATATTTTCTGAACCTCTTTGAACCTCTTTTGAATCTCCCATGAATAAAAATTGTTTTTCAAGATATACAAGGTGCAATTAAATAGTAAAGGAATGGAAAAAAATTATGTCGGAAATTTTCCTCATTTCCTATAGAATATAGGTTATGGGACAAAATGTGTATCCGTTACAAAAGTTTACAAAAA